GGGCCCCCCCCCCCCCCCCCCCGCCAGAACTACGACGACAGCCCAGTCCTGGCGGGGTTCATATCGGCGCTGATGCCGCTAGTGGTGGTCTTGTGCGCCCCGATCGCGGGTCTGATTTTGGACCGATGGGGGAGACAGTTGTATGTTCTACTCGTGGCGAACATCATCACCGTCATCGCGTACGTCCTGCTGCTGGAGGTAAGCGGAAAGGTGTGTGTGTGTGGAGTACGCTGAGTGCTTGCTTGCTTGAGTGCTTGCATGCTTGCGTGCTTGCATGCTTGCATGCTTGCATTCTTTTATGCGTGCTTGCATGCTTGCATTTTTTTGGTGTTGGAGTAGAGGGGGTGAGGGACGGTATGGTGACGTTGCTGCTTTCGGTTGCTCCCGGCTATCTCATTTGCGCGGCATGGGACGCTTCTCTGCCTCGTAGGTCTTACAATGTGAACGATGTATCATAATCTATCGTTGTGGCAACCCCACACTCTTGCGTGTCTGTACCCCACCCCCTAACTATCCCCCTCCGTGGGGCATAGGAGGGGGGCTGAAAAGGCGGGAACTTATATCAGTACAATAGGGAAAACATTGTGGAGCCACCTTTTGCAAAGTAGGAAGGTACGAACGATTGGCCATCGGTGATCGGGCCTGTGGGAACAATGCTCCGTCCACTCGTGGACTGGTAACCAATGGTCTCACCTCTACGGCATGCAAAATATGAGAAGAGTACCCCCCCACCTCTGGAAATGTCGTGTTTCGTCTCAGGAACGAGCCGGGGCCGTCGTTTGCATCCTCATGCTGGCGTTTTGTGAATCGTTCGTTCCGACGATTTTGCTGAGCGCGTTGCCTTTGACGGTGCACCCGTCCGTCTATGGCGCCGCTTTTGGCATGGCAGAGGTACGAGGTGCTCGTGGTTGCTGTTGTCGTCATCGTCACACACATATTATCTTGGCGCACTGCTGTTCCACCCCAGAGTGTCCTCAGTGTTGATGCAACCCGGAGGGAACCGCTGCTCCCTCGCCGCAATATCCCCTACTCGCTGTTTTTTTTTTGTGTGTGTTGTGTATGGTACGTTTTTTCTCCATGCCCTTCTTGAAGCTCACAAAAACGACATGAACAACACAGGTGCTGTCAGCGATAGGAAACATCCTGTCGAACGTCTTCTTCGGGTACTCCAAGGACCGGACCTCGTCGTACAAGGATGACATGATTGCCCTCGTCGTGGTGTGCGTGGTCTGCCTGGCGCTGACGCTGCTGCTCTTGTTCTGGGACGCCAAGCACGGGAAGTCGTTGCTCAACCGCGGGAAGCGGACGACGCCAGCGGATATGAAGTTGTTGGGGTGAAGAAGCGGCCCGTCCAGTGCCTGCTTGGGAGAGCCCGGGGAGGAACGAACAGCAGTGTTTTTTTTTTAAGAAAGCAAACATGACCTCACAGAAAGAAGACTACCCGCTCGAGATATAACCTTAGTCGGAAGGGATGTGATGAAGTCTTTTCAGTAAGTGGATTGAAACCAACTGGAGACTTGGCTTATTTTGAGGTTGTGTAAGCCTAACACTGAGCTATCAGCAATGCCAGTTGGAGCTAAGAACAATAGCATCTTTATTGGCGGATACATTCTTTATTTTATGTGGAATGTGGCCTTCACAGGGAACATGGCGCAGTGTCGTTTGACAACTTGCTGTTTTTAGAAAGTACATCGCTGCTGTTTTAGGCAACTTGAATATAGACTACAGTATACAGCTGTAGTTGTCTCTTTCAGAGCAAGCACCCACGAAGCGGCACGTCCAGTGCCGGTTCGGGATTGCTAGCGCAGGGGAACGAACAGCAGTGATTCTCTCTCGGCGTGCGGTACCAGAACACAAAAGCCCCCACGAACCTTCGGCAGTTTCTGGGTGTTGTTTTTGTGTGAACGCGAGGAGCCCGTTCGTCGGTTCTTGTTGTGTTTTTGCGTCGACGTCGCCCGGTTGTTGTGGGTAGTAGCATACGGTTGGTCGTGATGTTGAATGTGTCCCGAAATAAATGCACCGCTCGCTCTCCCGGAGCCGTAGCGCAGCATGCCTTGCCCGACCGAGTGAAAGACCAAGTTATTTTTTTTGTTTGTTTGTTGGTGCGTGTGTGTTGTGGCATGTACACAAGCGTCAATTGTCCTTGACGCGCGAGTAGTCGCCCGCGAGTGAGGTTGTGGTCTGGTTGACCATATGGATTAAGATTCGTACGTGGGGCTGGGTTTGGAACGCCTCCCGACGATATGTAAGAGTTTTTTTTTTTTCTATATATTTAATACGGTACAACGACTCCATCTTCATCATATAGAAAAATAGTATATTATAGATTAGCGATGAATCCATAGCGTCAGCGGAGGCTGTACTTGTATTTCCACGATTTCCCGAGGTTTTTCGATGGCGATGCAAACACAGCAGCAAGTACAGTATTTTTCCGGAAAGTTGACGTTGTCGTTGTTGCTCGCGATGGGTGAGCTCAACCGGGTGATATTTTTCTAGAACCCGAGATTGACATGAAGGTCTGTTTGTATGTGGTGGGGGGGACTCCCCACCCACCCACCCACCACCTAGATGTTGGGGTCAAACAAGTAGAAGAGCCGGTTATTGGTCGAAAGATTCTCCAAGCACACTTTTCGTGTTGTGTGCGATCGCTGAGCGCCCGTCCGCCGGTTAGCGGTCGAAAAATCCGGGTTTCTTGCACCAGAAGCAGCAGTCGTTTCATCGCGAGGCAGACTTTTGTGAAAAGAGGGAATCGGCCTCGACAGGCGTTTTGTGAAAAATATAATCTCCACACTCTTTTAACGTTGCGTGTGCGGTCGCTGGGCGCCTGCCGAGAATGAGTGCCTTGACTAATGACAGGGTAACACCTGCGAGTAAAGTCACTCCTCGAGCCCACACAGGGTAGACAGACGTAATTAATTATGTGTGCAGAGGGAGAGGGTTTTCCCATGTTTTGCATGCCTTTGACAGAGTGACCACGTTCTCGAGGGGACGGAGCAGAGGGGGTGGGGGGGGGGCTCTATTTGAGGTTATTCGTTTGGTTTTTGATTTTTGTGTCACGTTCGTGATGTTTTGATTTGTCCCTTGGTGTCCGCTTCATGTGTCCATACTTGCATATTGTGCGGGTGCGTGTTTTTATTTTGGGTTCTTGCGTGAGAAAGCTCACCTTTAGGCGGGTTCCGCGGTACAGGCGAATTGGTTCTCCAGCGGCGAAAAAAACTAAAAAAAATAAACGGATCATGCCGAACTTTTTTTTCCGGCGCATTCCCGATCTCGCCGCCTCCATTTCTCCTCGGCAATCGACTCCGATTGGCCGATTTAGGGGGGGTAGAGCCACTCAGAAAGTTGGTCTGACCAAAAGTGGCCGCGGGAGGGGGCCATATATGAGTGGGGCTGGGGCTGGAGCTGGCATCCCAGCGGGCAACTGCATCCACATCGTACCGCTGGGAGATAAGCCGTGGAAAGTAACGCACCAATGGGTTCCACACGACCTACGCCTCAAGCTCACCACCAAGCTGATGGACCAGCGGAAGGATACCCGCGTTGTCGAACAGCTTGTGGCCTACCCCAAGGATGACGAGGATGCCTTATGCTCGAAAGCTAGGGAAAAGGCCGAGGAAATCTTGAAGACGAGAAGGGACAGATACGAAAAAACACTG